GGTGCCGGCAATTAGCGCCTGACCGCAGGCGGCATTAGGCGCGCAGGCCAAAAGGGCCATGCGTCAGATTTTGGGTTCCAAGTGGATGCTAGAGCCACTACAGTAGATGAAAATTTTGAGCATCTCCAGAAAGACCGAAGGGAGTGCGTGCTGGCCAAGAAAACTATGAGACCGAATTCTATTAGTTAATAAACGAGGCCTATAGACCAAAAGAACGATTAGTATAGTTTATTATACCATCAAGCAATCTCACAAGAAAGCCCTAAGTATTTAGCCATTTTTGCATAAATGCAAGTGATGGTTTTCAGTATCATCTCCAGCCACACACACGCCTACCGAGTGAAAGCAAATAGACTAACGTTTTTTGCTCACCTGATTTGACTGGTTATTATTGACGTATCCGATAGGTTTCAATTTGATATATTTTTCGTACGCTTAAGACTTCGAATTCGTCCTAGATCCAATCAAGCAGATTATAACTGTGCGCTCGAGTGCTTGGAAGTTGTCTACGTGCATCTATGTAGTCTCGCTATATACGGCGCCAATCACTTATCGGCATAAATGTGCATCTTTCACTTATCTTAACAGTATAGCCTAGTCTCAATTTATTTGTAATCTAGGGACAGTATATGTTAAGTGTCCAAGTCTTTATAAATAATGTTATTTGATTATATCCAAAGACCACGCAATGACAGAATTTAAAATCTGGACATTTCAATGTAGACCATCTTCAAAATTCTTCTACGCACTTTGCTCTGAAAATAGAGAAGAATGTTAGTACCTGATGTTCGCGAGCCTGGGAAGGGCCAGGTGGACAGTAGATGGGGCTGCAAAGGGGATTTCAGCACTGATGCCGATATCATATGGTAAGACATTCACCGTACATTTAATCTTAATATGCTAAATGGTACCTGCTGCAATACAATGATTGATCGCATTGAAAGTTAGGGGGATTATGTATGCATCCGAGAGTCGCCTTTTGTCGGGGCGACAGAATAATTGACGCGAAGCAGTAATTTCTAGAGAAGCACGTGGTACATAGATAAAATTGAAAGTGTCCAAAGGACACTCTGATAAAGAGAAGACAACCACAACCACGCTTATTTATGCGGCCTTGACGGTAGAAATCACACTCGTCTATTATAAGGGAGGTGTCAGAAATGACGGGTAGATCGATGATTCCGTCATGTATATAAAATTGGCGACTATCTCGCAAGCAATGGCCCTAATTTGAGTCATCCGCGATCTTCTCCTCGTGTGCCCCTTAGGATATTGAAAAAAGCGCGATGGCCTCCTCCTGACAAGCCTCAAACACATTCAGCAGCAGGGCATCCGATTTACACATACTCTTCACCGCCCCCCCCCCCA